GGGCTCATGGCCACTGGTGATACAAGTACCTTCAAGAGAGGCTCCCTCCTTTACCTCTCTCCCCACTTCTTCCCAGCCAGCAGAGTTCTGGGTCTGCCTGGATTCATGTCTCCTGGTCAGAGTGGAAAGGGAAGGCAGCTGAATCCTCTTCCTAGGGAGCACATGCTTCTCTCTGAGATCTGAGCCAAGGTTGTTCTCTTGGGTGAAGGTTTCCAAAACTCCAAGTGGCCTTGCAAATTCACCATTTCGTTGATAAGCATGACTATCTCCCAGCAGAGAGGGACCACTTCAACTCTAGGGATGGCTGGTCCAGGATAAAGCAGCACCTTATTTAAGTTCCCACTAGAAAGAAAGAAGGAAAGAAGGAAGGAAGAAAGGAAGGAAGGAAGGAAGGAAGGAAGGAAGGAAGGAAGGAAGGAAGGAAGGAAGGAAGAAAGAAAAAGAAAGAAAGAGAAAGAGGCATTTGTTATTAATTGCAGCTTTCACTGAGTAAGCTCCTACTGTGGGCCAGGCATCATATTCTGCTTTATACACATAATCTGATTTAATCATCACAAGAGCCCTATAATAATAGCTATTATTATTATCTTCACTTTCCAGATGAGCAAACTGTAGGTTAGAGAAGTTGAGTGACATGCCCAAAGTTAGAAAGCTAAAAAAATAGCAGAACCAAAATTTGAACCCATGGCTATCTAGCTTCCAAGAGTTACTAGCTGCCCGGCTGCCCTTACCTAATCCTCTTTCCAACCTGTGAAGCCGAGATTCTTATCATCATCCCCCAGGACAGAGGGAGCACAACCTCAGTAAAGCTGATGATGTTATCGTTCCTAAAAGCAGAGAGAGGGCAGCCATTGCCTCATCCATTTGTTCAGGGTAGTGTTGAATTGAAGAGCACAAGCCCAGGAAAGAAATGAATTCAAATTGAGGCTGAGGTTCTTACTAGTTGAGTGACCTTGGGCTGATATTCACCTCTTCAAGCTTTAACCTTTTAAAATGGGGAGGACGATCTAGCTGCAAGGCAGTGGGAGGATCATGCAAGATAATGAAGTGCTGAGCATGTGGGAAGTATCATTACTTAAACCTCTTCTGCCTCTGCCTCAGAGGTTGAGATTTTGTTCAGATGCTTGATACGTTATCCTGGTTAAGACCAGTGCTTCTGAATCTGGCTGATGTCAGAATTACCTGCCAAAAGTATAAATGTTTGGTCCCTACCCCAAGAGATTTTGAACTAGGACTGGCCTGGGGCTTAGACATTTTTATCTTTAATAAATTCCCAGGTAATTCTGATGCACTCCATGTTTGGGGGATCCAATCTACGAGTGTAGACATCTCAGCCACAATGGGGAAGGGACTCAGATTGGTTTCTAAGTCCTCTTCCCCTCTTTCTTGTCACTACCAGCATCCCTTTTCCCCACCTCCTCTCCACTGGCTTACGAGTGCTCTCCCCAAATCATAGTCTGTATGGCCTAGCAATGAGTCAGTGGCACTCAGAGTATTATGGACCTGCTTTTCCAGAGGCTTGGGAACCCAGCACAGGGCTGGGAAGCAGGCTGCCAGGGTTTATGCCCCCTTCTGACTCATTGGTGGCCCAGGGTCAGTAAGCCTCCAAGCTTTAGTTTGCTCATGGTTAATAGATAGGGAAAGCGGAGTGGCCCATTTGGACTCTGCTTCCTTAGAAATGCGTCCCTGGCACTTGAGAGCCAGAGAGCAGGTGGAGGAGGCCGTAAAAGAATTCTGCATAATGACTTTCTCATCGACATCTCATTTGATGCTCACAACGATAGGGAATAAAATCCAGCATCTAGCTTGGCCTGTAACATCCTCCATTATCTGTCCCTCGGCTTTGCTCCAGTGTTATCTCATAACCTTTCTTCCTTTTCTGGCCTCCTTGCTATTCCTTGAATGCTCCATACTTGTTCCCACCTCAGAGTTTTTGCACTATTTGCATGGTTTGGACCGCTTTTGCCATGGATGATCACAAGCCTGTTTCCTTCTTCTTATTCAGGCCTCAGCTTACATGTCACCTGCTCATAGAGGCCTTTACTAACCAATCAATGAATCTAAATTGTCATCCCAAGCACTGGAACACATCATTTTATAGTACATCATTGTATTTTAACTTTCATCTTGGCACTTGTCATCATAGCATTTATTTTTCTTTGCTTTGTCTTACCTGTCTTCTTCTACTACAGAATGTAAGCTCATGAAATCACATCTTTGGCTATCTTGTTTGTTGCGGTGTCCCTAGTGCCTGAAAAGCATTCAGTGAATTTTTGTGGAATCAATGAGTAAATGAGGTTGTCCCAGCATTAACTACAATTTATTTTTCTTTTCTTTTCTCTCTTTCTTTCTCCCTTCTTCCTTCCTTCCTTCCTTCCTTCCTTCCTTCCTTCCTTACTTCCTCCCTTCCTTCCTTCCTTCTTTCCTTCCTTCCTTCCTTCCTTCCTTCCTTCCTTCCTTCCTTCCTTTCTTCTTTCTCTCTCTCTCTCTCTTTCTCTCTCTCTCTCTCTCTCTCTCTTTCTTTGCTTTTTGGTCAGAGGACACTCAGTGTTCTGAGAGGGGAAGTGACTGTCTCAAATGCATTCCAGGCCTTTTGTCTTCTTTATCCAGGCCCTTCCCATATACTTTGGCTGACACACAAACCTAGCTGGGGTGAGGCTTCCAGGTGTGATGAAAACTTGGACTTGCCCCATGAATGAGATTAAGGCTGATGTGGGGGTGAGAAGGCGGAAAGACAGAGCGTGAGAAGGGAGAGGCAGGTTGGGACAGGAGAGCAGGGTGTGAACCTGGCCTCCAGTTGGGGAAAGAAGGGTGACTTGGCTGTGTGTCAGGAAGTGTTTCCCTCTAACCTCCCCTGGGGAGAGCCCTGACCCCAAGGTGGCTTTGTTTTGGGGAAGCAGGTGGTAGGGCACCTGCTGAGGGAGAACGAAGGCGTGGCCTGCATGAGGACCATCCCCTGAGGTCCAAGGCCCAATGAGGAATAATTCTACAGTGGCACTTGGCCAAATAGGTGACAGGTAAGCTCCCACCTGAAACCAGCCCAACCACAGCCTAGAGGACTTTGCTAATCAATGAATCTAAATTGTCATCCCAAGCACTGTGACACATCATTTTATAGTGAATCACTGTATTTTAACTTTCATCTTGGCACTTGTATCATGGACCTGCCTCAAATCTGTGGGGAAGAGAGAAAAGAGGTCTCTAAGAGAATGGAGTGGTCAAGGTGGAATGCTTAGTGATGATGTTGATGATGATGATAATGATGATGATAATGTCACATTTTATTGAGTTTATAATATGCCTGGCACTGTACGAACTGCTTTATGTACTAACTGTCTCATTTAGTCTTCAAAAACCTCTCTACAAAATAGACATTAATGTTATTGTTGTTATTCCTATTTGAGAGATGCGGAAACTGAGGCTCAGTGACATTAAATATCTTGTTCAAGGTCACACCATAAGTAGCAAAGGCAGGATTCCAACTTAGGTCTATAGTGATTCCAGTGCACCATGGAAACCTAGGTCTGGTGAGGGCTGCTGGGAGCAGGCTAAGAAGGCAGAGCCTGACTGACTCCTGCAAAAGTGGGGATGGGGAAGGACAGTGGGATAGACTGTGTATAAATAGCAGGACTGTTTTTATCCCTACACATGGGCTGAATCAGACAAGCAGCTCTATCTGGCACAATTTAAGGGCTCTGAATGCCAACCCAGCCCCGTGTCACACAAATCCCTCTCCAGCACATCCCTGGGAGATGAAATACTTATTTGAGAGTCATTTCCTTAGGTCAGAACATTTGACTCCAGAAGACCCCTGTAAAAATACATAGGTTGGATGAGAAACGCATCAATCCTTGGCACCTGTTAACATAGCAACCTAGGCTAGCCAGCTATGCCCTGTGGGAGGGGGGCTCAGTTTTCACGTTGGGGAAGAACTTGGTGTTGTTCAAAGGCAAGGAAAAGCGTGAGGCTTGTTTCACATCCTGCGTCTCTCTGATTCTAGAAGCCTGGGAATTATAATCCTAGTTCAAAAATCCTGGATACTGTATTCTCTGGGGGAAAGATGAGGGAAGTCACTCCTGGCTGGAAGAATCTTAATTTTGATTTTGCTGAATTGATATCAAGGGCCTGCAACTGCAACTCTGGTTACCCTGGGCTCATGAGACCTGCTGGCATTCATGTGTCTAATTTTTAAATGATAAATTTATTATTATTTACTACCTGTGGTAGGCAAAGAAGCGAGCTTCTGAAACGCAGAAGGTGACATGGTGGAGACCCCTGGTTTGGTGCAGGGATGGCCCTCGAGAAGGAATGAGGGAAGGGAAGGAACGAGGGGTATCCAAAGGCAGAGCTCAGCTCAGCAGTTTACAAGGCTGCAGCGCGACAAGGGTTTGGGGAAAGGTAGGAACTGGTCCCCGCCACCTGCCGGTCACCAGCCCTACCCACAGTCAGGCCGCGGCTGCCCTGGCCTGGTCTCAAAAAATGTGAGCACCGCCCCTACACCCGCCCCCTTCTCCGCCGCGCCCGCGGGGTCGGGGGCTGCGCTGCAGGCGCCGGGAGCCGGGCGAGCGTCCCAGCGCGGGAGGGGGAGGGGGCGGTGCGGCGCGGCGCGGGGCGGAGCTTCGTCGGCGCCTCCCCGAGCCTTATCCCCGGCCGCGCGCCGGGAGCGCTCAGTCGACCGAGGGAGCCGCACGCTGCAAGCGGCTGGTCAACCTGACCGCAGCTCAGAGGCTGGGGCGGACGGACAGACGCACGCACGCACGCACGGACGGCGTGAGCAGACAGACACCCAGCGGCTGTGAGCTCCGCGCAGGTCCCAGCCTTTCTTGCACCCAGAGGCCGGCAGCAGAACCGTGCCCGGCGGAATCTCCTGCGCTCCGCCCGCCCCGGCTCTCGTGCCAGCGCCCCGGGGCCGCCGCCTCCAAAGTGATCGCTGCCTCGTCGTCTCCGCCGGGTCCGGGACCATGAAGCTGCTGCCGTCGATGGTGCTGAAGCTCTTTATGGCTGCAGGTAAGAGGGCTGTCGACGCCCCCGGAGGTCAGGGGAGGGGGGGATGGGGACGCTTGCTGGGGGCACGGGGGAAGGTCGCTGCAGCGCCCCCGGCGCGGGCCACTTGGTGGGGCCAGTGCTCCCTGGCAGGCGGGGGCCGGCATCGATGCGTGACGACCCGGGGTCTGATGCGGCCTCGCCCCTTACCCGCAGTGCTCTCGGCGTTGGTGACCGGAGAGAGCCTGGAGCGGCTTCGGAGAGGGCTGGCGGCTGGAACCAGCAACCTGGGCTCTCCTACTGAATCTACGGACCAGCTGATGCTCCCGGCAGGCGGCCGGGGCCGGGAAGTCCTGGACTTGGAAGAGGCCAACCTGGACCTTTTCAGAGGTAGGTGTGGGGGCTGCCCATCCTCAGACCCTGGTGGATAGGTGAAGAATAGGCAGATCTGGGATTCATGCTGTTTGGGCACAACTGTGGGTGGGTGGTATTCATGGAGGACTTCAAGGAAAAGCTGCTTGGCCTGACAAGCGTACTGAGGGATCCTGGAATGTGGGTCCCGCTGTCTTTCTTGCTCTGGGATCTCATATGTCAAGTTGCTGCCCTTTCCTGTACTTTGGAGCAAATTGAGACAGGCAAGGTGTCTGGCCTGGGGTCCGTACATTCTTCTGTCTAAGCTGATTGGTGGGAAGAAGAAATGCTTGGGATGCTTTCTCGAGAGTTTCTGTGTAAAAATGGGCACGAGTCCTAATTCTCACATCAAAAGGCTATTATATATAAGATAATAGATGTGGAGATGCTAGGCACATAGTAGGTGTGCAGTGTTAGTCTCCTCTATCCACCTGTATCCAGGTTGGAGCAAAAGAGGGAAATGAGGAGCTCTTGGTCTCCCCAGGTGAGGCCAGCGCCTCCTGGGGATACTATGAATGACAAACACTGGATCCCTAGGGAGCAGTTTTGAAATGATGGGTGTCTACAAATCCTACCCAAAGCCTGGAGACTTCCTGACTACCTTCAGTGCCTGAGAGAAACTCCAAGGGAGGAAGGGCAGGATGAGATCCTCCAGCAGACAGATGTGGCTACGGCTGAGTATAGGCACAGACAGGGCAGAGTTCAGAGCCTCTGGCATTGATTGCCTGCTTCTTGCCCCCAGCCACCTGTGGCAATTCTTGAGGGTGGAGCAGAAACTGAGTCCTGGAGGCCCTGATGACTATATTTGGTTGGAAAGATACCCACCTGTTCTAGCACCGCCCAGTCTGCAGCCATCCATCTCCCTTACCCAGAGATTCCCTTAGGTCCTGTCTCTGCTTTGTATAAATCAACGGTCTGCTACAAAGCTGAGCCTGGGCTCCCACCCTTCATCCTTTCACTGTGGCCCTCTGGGGTCACCCCTGGATTCTCCTGGCCCTTTCTTTCTAGGTTGGGCAGAGCTGGGCTGTGACTCACCCTCCACCCACACGGCTGCTCCTCATACCTCTGCAGACCTGACTCATTGCTCCCTCTTCTTGGCAGGAGCCTAGTTGTCACTCTGTCACTCTCTCCCTCTCCTTTCTGATTGGCTTGGGCTACCTGCCTCAGTTTCACCACAGCTCTGGTTACTGGGTTCTTCTGAGCATCTACCTCACCTTCTGAGGTCTGAAGTGGCCTGGGTCTGCACTGGAGGAAATGGGACTGTGAGACTACTGACACCTATCTCTCAACTTCTCTTGGCTTTGCTGGGCAAAGACTGTTTTTCAGGTCTGGGTATCCTATCACTTGAAATAAAGGTTAGCATTTATTAGGTGCATACTGTGTTCTAGGCACTCAATGTGTTATTGTGGGTTAATTAATCAGTATAGCAACCCTCTGAGATGGGAACTCTTGCTGTCCGCTTTTTACTGAGAACTCCAAGATTTAGAGAGATTAAGTGACTTGCCTAAGATCATATGGCTGAAATTGGAGCACAGGTCTGCTCACTTCAGAGCCCATTCATTGTCTCATTCTGGTTCAACATCCCAGGTGCTCTAGACTTCTCTGGAAGAAGGGACAGGGTATGTGAGGCAGCTTGGTGTATTGGGAAAGAGCACTGGATATGGAGTCCAGAGACTATATGTCTGATCTCAACCTTGTATGACCTTGGGCAAGTCACCACCTTTTGGGACCTCAAGTTTTTCATCTGAAAGTGGAAAGCCATGATATTCTTTGCAGTTATTTCCTGCTTGAGGGTCTTAGGTCTCTAGTCTAATGTATCATGCTCACCCTTCTGCCAGACATGTGGCTACAGCCATAGACAGTGGGTACCTTTTTTCTGCTGGGAGCCAAGAAGAAGGAGACTGGTGTGAGACTCCTGGGCTGATGAGTGTAGCCCATGGTCCGTCCCAGCTGGAAGTCTATGTGAGGTTGTTTTTCCCCTTTGAAGTGTGGAAAGAATGGGGGAGTTATAGTTGTTCCAGTTCCTTCTGAATAGTGCCTTACTTTTCATCTTTCTACCCCTTATACACACTATACTCCCCATCCTAGAGAGCTATACATACTACAGTCGGGGATAAACGTAAATGGACCTTAGAGAGAAGTGGTGAGCTGCAAAGGGCACAAAGTAGGGTAAATATTTTGCTTGAAGTCAAAAAAGCAAGGCCCTAACCAGGGGCAGCTTGCTTGCTGTCCCCGAGCCTGGCTCTGCCCTGGGCTCATGGTATCCTGGTGCTAATGGGTACCCCAGAGGAGGCCGTCTGGACATGGGCACTGCACTTATTTTAGGAGCCTCCTCCTCCCAAAACACCCCTTAAAGTACCTTCTCCAGAGCAATTTTTATCTCTGACACTGTCTTCCTGCAAGTGGGTCACCGAGTGCAGCATCAGGAAATGAGGCTGATTTAAGGCCAAAATAGAACCAAGTGGGCGTGGGGGAATAGGAGACGGGGGGATTGACAGCGGGGTGGGCGTGAGGCTGGTAGAATTGCTCAATCAGCAGTAGTTACTCAACAGAAGCTAGTGTTCTTGGAATGAGGTGCTTAAACTGAGTTTGTGAAATGCCTTCCTTGGGACCCCCACTAGTCCCGACTTCCTTCACCACTTTCTAGTGGTTCTGCCCAGTCTTCCTTCAGCCTTTGGGAGGCACTGAGCCAAAGGGCCTTCCCAGGCCTCTGGCTTCAGGTGGGATCAAAGAATACATCCTCCTTCTAGACGCTGTGCTATTCTGATTCTCTCCCCTGAGAGTCAAAGACTTAACAGAGTGCTTTTTCTCCTATAGCTGCTTTCTCCGCTAAACCACAAGCTCTGGCCACACCCAGCAAGGAGGAACGTGGGAAAAGAAAGAAGAAAGGCAAGGGGTTAGGGAAGAAGAGAGACCCGTGTCTTCGGAAATACAAGGACTTCTGCATTCACGGAGAATGCAAATATGTGAAGGAGATCCGGGCTCCATCTTGTATGTAAGTGTCCCTGCCCTTCAGCGGACTCTCAGTACACTCTGTCAGCCACGTGGCTTCCTTGTTGTCACTGTTCCTTGAATTCATAATTCCACCCAGTTTCTTCTCGGCCTCTAGGCGGAAGTTGGGAGGAGGGGAAATATTTTTAGTCAGAGGAAGGGGCTCCCCCCCGCATAGGATGCAATTTCCTGTGGCGTGGGTCTGTGATATTCTTCATCCTTGGGGATATTTCCTGCTTGCTCAGAAAGCATGTGGCTAGGAGAGCTGACACCTGAAGGCAGGTCCTTCATTCCTGCCTCTTGCCTACTCCAGATGAGAGAAGCCAGTAGGAAATGTGGCAGAGTGGGCTTCCTGGGTGGAGTGGGACTCCTGTGGCCTTCTTTCCCAAGCCCTGCAGGCAGGTATGAGGTGCATTTGGACATATGCTGTGCAGGTGTGTGTGTACCCGGACATGTGTGCACATGAGTGAGCAAATGTAGGTTGAGTCTATGGCATGGCAGGACTGCACAGTGATCATCGTGGGAGTGGGGAGAAGCCCCTCCTCCCTTCTTCCCCACTCCTCTCACATGGGCCAGGAGGTGGGGGACATGGTGGGTATTGGCCTTTGGCCATGGGGTGGGAGTATACTTCCTTTGTGCAAGATTTAAAGGAAGTGGAACCCAACCCAGGAGGCATCAGCCATCAGCCAGGCAGCACCACCCTTCCCTGGGCAGGGGTGTGGGTGGAGGGGCTGTGCGTTCCCCAACTGATCTGCTAGGCCAAGCCCAGCAAACGGCTGTCTTGGCAACCCCTCAGGGATGACGGCACTGCCATGCTTCTGGCAGGCATAATGTCGCCAGTGTGCCCAAGGCCAACAGCCGCGTCAGGCTGTAAACATCCATTCTCTTCTGCTGGGCACGAGGCCGTAAGGGGAGGCAGGCTCTGTGACCTGGGAGACTCTGGACAGGGCCAAGAAACTGTTGGGTGCACACTACCTCCCAACCTGTCAAGGAGGCTGGCTGCTTGGCATCTTCTCCTGTGATTGGTGCAGATCCCTTGGCTCTTTAAAGCTTCCTTGTCCCATCTGATCTCATGTAGTAGAGCTACCCGGTACTTGGCAATTGGCAGACAGACCCATTACTCCCTACCATGTCCATGGTCACTTGTGTGTCCTCTCCTATACCATCCTTGTCAGGAGCTCGGTATTACAGGTTTTTTTGTTTTTTTGTTTTTTTTTAAGAATGACATAGATAGTCCTCATATTACCCTTTCCAAAGTCTTAGGATAGGACAGGAAGTGTTTGTCTTAAATTTATAGAATGGCATCATTAGCACAGGGTGGAGGCAGTGACTCTGAGGGTAGTCAAGATGGGCCGAGGCCAGGCATCTGTCCAGGCCAAACTGGTTTGGGGTGTTGGTGGATGAGAATTGAGAATCCTTGTGAGACCATTCTCCTGGAGAGCTGGGCTCAACCAACCACCCCCAGAGAACCCAGGAGAGGTAGCCCTAGGGATGCTGACAATGACCATTATGACTCTCCTCTCCTTTGCCCTGGGGCTTCACAGTTTACATTTAATATGAGTTGAGCCCAACAAGTATGTGTTGAACTTACTTGGTGCCAGCTATTCTAGGGGACGGGGAGATGTAGTCCAGTCCTGGGATTCTCGAAAGCCCTCTGTTGGGTAGGTAGGGCTTGCTATCTCTCTTTGAAAGATGAGGAAATTAGAGCCAGGAAGTAGGAAGTGATTTGCCTGAGATCAACAGCTAAATAAGTGGATGGAAACAGGACAGGGACTCAGGTGCCTGACTTCTAGTCCAACATGCTTTTCATGTCCCCGGGCTGCCCTGGATGTTGGCTTGCATCCTTCTCCCCTGTCTGTCCTCACAGAGATTGAGCAGGATTTTATACTAGGCAGCTGTTAGCCTAGAGGTCTCTTAAGGCTTTTACTAGCCCAAGAGCATGGCAATCTGATTTGCAGACTTTGTGTCTGCTTCCTAGGCAGATTTTCAAGGGGCTGGATTCTGTGTCTGGTGTGGCTGCCTCCTGCCTCTAGCCCTTGGTACTCAGGGCAGAAGGCAACAAGAAGACACAGAGCTCCTGGTTTGGAGGAAATGTGACATCTGGGCACTGACATCTGGGGTCCTTTGTGGCTTCTCCTTGCCTCTAGATCCAGGAACTGCCACAGGGTGTGTCCAGGCTGCTGTGGTGAGCTTGAGGCTAGCTGGCTTCCTAAACCAGCCCTCCACAGCCACCATCCACAGGAAAACCCTTTCGTGTCACCAGCTAAAAGTTGCCCTCAAAGAGCAAGTTCCTGGGGCTCCTGACTGGCTGCTGACCTAGAAAACTCTGGCTGCAGAGTTTCCTGTGGCTTCAGGAAACCTGGGGGGCAGTTGAGCTGAGGAGGACTCAGAGCTGACAGAGGAACAGGCCTGGGAGCCGCACCTGTCTCACTGCCAGATGCTGAGAGGGGATGGCGAGTGCCTTGTCTTTGGCTCAGTCTGACTTTGGTGCCCCACTCTTCAGGTATGGGCAGTAGTCTCTGGAATATGATTATTACAATAACTTACACATATGTGGGATTGGCCTCTTATTAAGTGCTTCTATCTATATTATTTGATCTTCACAATACTCTAGTGAGATAGACATTTATTATTCCTGTGTTTTACATGAGAAAAACCAAAGCCTGGAAAGGTAAAAGTACCTTGCTCAATATCACCTGTTAGGAATAGCAGAACCAGCCTGGAATTCATGCATTCTGAGTCCCCTGCACCAAATGGTGCCCCCTCCACCTTCTGGGCTAGGAGCAGAGAAATTTGGAAGATGTCTCTAGACCATAGGGGGTTCTTGCTTCTGTTGTAATACAAGTTCTGAAATGGGTCACAGACAAGGAGAGGAGGGACATGTTCCAATCTGATGGGTCATTGGCTCTGGGGAAGACACACGATCTTGCCCCCATCCTGGGATGTTTGGAATGTACTCATCCCCTCCTTCCCTGGGGAAGCCAGGAGTTGGCTGCAGAGGGAGAGGGAGGTGGGTAATATTAGGATGTTTACATTATTATCCTTTTGACTCAGGGTAGGGGTGGAGAGATTATGTAACTGAATTGCAGGACTCTGAGGCCAACCTTTATTTCTATCTTCTGAGTAACTACCTGTGGGCTTTGAATGATGGTCTGGAAGTAAAAAACAGGCTCAACTTCAACTTCCCTCCTCCCAAGAGAACATAGTCTCAAGTCATCCAGACTGCTGGGTTGAATCCTGGCTCTCTCGCTCACGAGCTGTGTAACCTTGGGCAAATTATCTAAGAAGTTAAGCCTCAGTCGCTTCATCTTTAAAATGGGGATAGTAACTCCTACTTCATAGAGGTGTTTTTAAGATTAAAGGAAATGATCCTTGTAAAGCAGTTAGCACAGCATACTCATAGTAAACCTTTAATGCTAGCTATTTATTATTTATTATTCAAGTATTATAATAATAATAATAATTAACAATAATACAGTCAGAGAGCAGGGTCAGGCAACCAAGGAGCCCATCAACCCATAAGATATGTGTTTCCTTGGGGTAACCTACGCTGTTCAGAATGAAAAGAGTCATGAACTTGGAATCCGCCAAGACTGGTTTCTAGTCTTGGCTCTGCTGCTTCCTCATTGTATAACTTTTGGCAAATCACTTAATCTTTCTGACCCTTAATCTTAGTCTTTCAATTTGTAAAACTCACCTGTCCCTGCCTACCAGGGTGTTATGAGTCTCGGTTGAGTTCTCAGATAAGGATATTGTCTTATAAACTATAGACTGCTGTGCACAAGCGATTCTGCAGGTGCACTCCGGAGACCTTCTTCCGTGTCCTGGCAGGATGGGGGTCGTGGTTTTGCCCACCTGGGCCAATGGGACAGATGCATGGAGAGGCCAGGCGAGGAACTGTGTCCTCTGCTGTGTGTATAGTATGCTTGACCTACATTTATCCTGCAAAGAGGTCATTCCCCAAAGCACCCAAGAAGAGCTGGGACAGAGAGAGGTGCTAGACAGGAAGGCAGGGGCAGCCTGGCCCCTCTGCTGCTGCCAGGTCTGGACACATCCGCTTCCTGGGTGCCTCTCAGCGGGAAGCTTCCTTGCTCTGAGGCACCAGGTACATGACCTGCTTCCCAGAAGGAGGCTGAGCTCAGAATAGAGGGTCCCCAGGTTCTCAGTGCTTCCTTCAGCAGCTAGTGGCCTAAAGTCCCCAGGCAGACAGTGCACTGGTTGGGCTGTGGGCAGTTATATGTGTGAATGGGCAGCACACTGAGCTCAGAGTCAGATAATCCAGTCCACACCTCTGCCCTGCTGTGTGCCCAGGAGAAACAGCTGTCTTTGCTGCATGCCCATGGGGCTCCTACCTCCATCAAAGGGTCGGTCTCCCAGTGCTCAGAGAAAGGAAGCGACAGAAATGTGCTTGATCAACTGTAAGCACTTCTGAGTCTTCCTCAGAGCTTCCAAGAAATGCTTTGTGTTAAAAGAGGCAGTTGCCATATGATTTATTTCTTGAGTGAGGAGAGCCAAAGAGTTGTTTCTGACATTCTTCCATGCTTTGGCAGGACAGCTGGGCAAGATGTTATCTTGGTTTGTTTGCTTTGTCCTGTGATGAAAGAGGCCCGATAGCCTGGTGTTCAGAGGCCAAAGGCCGAAGTTGAGCTCTCAAGTTGGGCCCTATACCCAGGGGGTGCTGGGAGTTAAATGAAGGGAACTTGAGAAAAGTGACTCCTGGCAAAGGCACAGGACCTATTAATAGGCTGGGCAGTGGCAGAGAGGGACTGGACACAGGAAGCATCATTGGGGAAGGCCGGGTTTATTTCTGGGTCCGAGTGTTGAGGGGCCTCACTAGAGAAAGCGATACTGAATACCCTCAGCTCAACCCACCAGCTCTGTGACTAAGTCCTCTTTACACACATGCAATAAATAATCCACACATGGAACATATCTAGCTGAGACCTTGAAGTTCTTTCTCCCTTTTTGCCTGCCTGGAGCAGGAATCTCAGGCCAGAGAACTAAAAGGAGTAGAGAAGGGGGAATGAGAGGTGAGGGAAGAAAGCCGTGGAGTCCTCAGTGAGGCCCTTAAAGAGTCCCCTGCTGGAGAAGGATAGGGGAAGGGCTGGGGTCATGGTCAGGGCCGGGTAGGCTGAGAGCGTGAGGAGTGGGGTTCGGCTCACGTAGGTGGGCCATTGACGAGAGTAAGAGGCCCAACCACAAACCTCATCTCCTCTTTGTTCTCTCTTGAACCAGCTGCCACCCGGGTTACCACGGAGAGAGGTGCCATGGGCTGAGCCTACCAGTAGAAAATCGCTTATCTACTTATGACCACACAACCATCCTGGCTGTGGTGGCCGTGGTGCTGTCGTCTGTCTGTCTGCTCGTCATCGTGGGGCTTCTCATGTTTAGGTGAGTGTCGGGGGCCCCTGCAGGCTGTTTCTGCAAATCACTTCCATTACTCCTCCTCTTCCTCCTGGGGCTTCTGCCTGGTGACCACATGAGCCCTCCAGCCTCCCTAAATTTGGGGCTAGGAGTCTGATTGACATTCCTGAGGATATGTTCTCCAAGAACATGGCTTCTTTGGCATGACGTGAGTCCATTGTCCAGAGCCCAGGGCGAAACTTGCCAGGCCACAGCAGGTCCTGCTATTCCCAGCGGTCCCAGTAACCCACCTGTGGAGCACCTCTTCCCACTGTTCTTTCTCCTGGCTCTGTTCTTTGATGGCATTAGCGTGTGGTTTGATAGTCAAGGCATGGTTGTGCTGTTGGTGCATCCTTCCAATTCTGAGGCATCCGGACCTCAGGCTATGCTTCCAGTCCAGGTTATGTTCTAGATTGGTGGAGACCTTCCAAGCACTCTGTGCTCATTTTCAAGCAGCACAACTCATTTACTTTGAGACCTGGACCAGGTTACCTGTCTTTCTGAGGGTTGTAATCTTTCCGTAATTGTAAGTAATCTTCATCCACCTACCTATAAGGATGTTGTGAGGATCATATAAATGAGTTGAAAGTTCTTAGCAAATTGTAACCTGCTGTTAAAGACAAGCATCTCTTGGGGCAATTGGATCTTTGACCGGAGTCTGTTAGACTGCCATTCCTCTGGGCTTTTCCAAGTAGTGGAGGGAAGCAGCATGGCAGTGTCCTTTAGAAGGACACTCTATGGGACCTGCACCCTGTTGTAGCAGGCAGAGCTTGCTCACAAAACTTAACCTTCCTCAGGTACCATAGGAGAGGAGGTTATGATGTGGAAAATGAAGAGAAAGTGAAGTTGGGCATGACTACTTCCCACTGAGAGACCCGTGCTCAAGGTAATGGTCCATCATTTGCCCCATGGCACCATCACCACCGTTCCCGGATCTGTTTCAAGGCATGCTGAACTCTTCTACCGCTTAGGGTTTGGGTTGACCTGGGGGCCAAGCTGCTGTGGAGTCAGGGTCCCATTGCAGAGTTGTTTTCCAAAAGGCTGTCAGTGCTTCATCTCCACTTAGAGTGAAAGTTGTTAGAGAGATACCCAAGAGAGATGCCTGAGAAGACAGCTTCTCCTGTCCTCATCCCCTCTCCTTCCACCACCTCCCAGATGATCTTTTTACTTCTTAAGACTGGATGTGGGAGACTATTAAGACCTCTGAAGTCTGGATGCAGCTTTAAAAGTTTTCCTTTTGTATTTTAGGAATAAGCTGGGGACCGCTACCTCTGAGAAGACGCAAGCTGATCACAGACTCTACAGAGGGGAAGGACTTCACAACTAGCCATGAAGACTCCTTTGTTCTCAGTTGCCATCTAGATTGGGTCTCCCATAATTGCTTTACCAGAGCCTTCAAGTGCCAAACAGAATATGTCCAATGGGATCTGGGTCAGAAGGAAGCAAAAGTGAGGGACTTTCATGCACTTCTGACTCTCCTCCACCAAACCCTGCTTGACCCCATAAAGTTTGTTTAAACACTTATCTTCTGGATTAAGATGCCAGTTAAATTCCATATGCTCCAGGATCTTTGACTGAAAAAAAGGAGAAGGAGAGGAAGAAGAAAAGATTTGTGGACTGGAAGAAGGTAATGAAGATTGAGAAGCCATGTACTCAAGTAGTCACCAAGGGATCTGCCATTTGGACCCTCCAGCGCTGGATTTGATGAGCTAACTGTGAAATACCACAAGCCTGAGAACTCTGAATTTTGGGACTTCTACCCAAATGGAAAAATAACAACTATTTTTTTTGTTGTTGTTTGTAAAATGCCTCTTAAATTATATATTTATTTTATTCTATGTATGTTAATTTATTTAGTTTTTAACAATCTAACAATAATATTTCAAGTGCCTAGACTGTTACTTTGGCAATTTCCTGGCCTTCCGCCCTGCATTCTCCCACCGCCTGGCTCAGCATTACCCTCCTCTGCCGCAGATCTGAGACGGCTCTGCGACCTATCTGTGGTAATCTATCACATGTCCACATTTCTGAAGATGTTCCATGATCAGAGTGCCACGGGGAGCGGCCTGTACGGTCAGGATATAGGAGTTAACTTTGTCAGATCCACTCTATGAGTTGGACTGCAGTCTTGCCTAGGCGATTTTGTCTACCATTTTGTGTTTTAAAAGCCCAAGGTGCTGATGTCAACGTGTAACAGATAACGCTGTTTCCCCGTGTCCTCTCCCTGCCAGATCTCAGAAGAGTTTGGGCTTCCATGCTTGCAGCTTTCCTGGCCCCTCACCCCCTGTAGCCCCAGGCCCACCAAGTGGGATCTCACTCTCCCTTGTGTCAAGACATTTCTCTTACTCCTGCCATTCTTCTGGTGCTACTCCATGCAGGGGTCAGTGCAGCAGAGGATAATCGAGAGAAGGTATTAGCGAAGAAAAAGGTTGAGGAGGAACAGGAAACGTTGGAGCTGACTGTTCTTGGTAATTGATAACCTATCAATTGCTGTAGAGAGGTCGGAGGTGAGGAGGACTTTTGGGTAAACCCACCCACCTCACCAAAACTATGAATGTATGCTGTCATAGTCCCTTCTGGAAGTTTCTGGTGCCATTTCTGAACTGTTACAATCTGTATTTCCAAACCTGGTTCATATTTATACTTTGCAATTCAAATAAAGATAAACCTTACTCTACAGCCTTCTGTCTGCTTGTTTTAACAGGGAACTGATTTGACATAGATACTTTCTGAGCCCTGACTCATAATTAGGCCCTATACCAGACTTCTTTATATGCACTATCTCATATCCCCAACAACACTTTGATGAAGGTACTATTGCCCCATTTTTCTGAAAGAGGAAACCGAGGCTCACAGAGGTTCTGTAACTTGCCTGAGGATATATAGTTGGTAAGTGGCAGATCTGGGACTAGTAGTCTGACTCCAGTTATTTGTCTTAATACTTAGATCACATTACCTCTGAGACAAGAGATAATAGACTTTTCACATAGGAAATTTGGCCAGCTGTAACCAGGAAGACATCTACCACTCAATTAAAAGACCCCGGACTCAGGGCCTGATCTTGTGTCGTATATGCAAACACGCATTGCTCCTGTTAGAAACAAGGCATCTTCGACTCCCTTCTCCTATTCCACAGTCGATCCATCAGCAAGTCTTATCAGCCCTACCTTTCGAATGTGTGCTGAATACAGCCATTTCTCATCGCTGCCACTGCCATCACCCCTGCCCAATGCACCATCATCTCTTATTTGGACTATTGCAATGGCTTCCTGTGTCCTTTCTTTCACCTCGCTCCCAGATAGTCCATTTTCAACACAATAGCCAGAGTGATCATTTAAAACAATCCAGATCTTGTCCGCCTCGCAGACCTTCCGTGACCACTCAATGATACAATAGCACATTCCTCCCCTACCCCACTCTTATTCTCCTTATATTGCTTTATTTTTCTTCATAGCCCTGATCACCACTAACATATTCTTATTTGTTTATTGTCTTTCTCTTCCTACTAGGATGCTAGCTCCATGAGGGTAGGTATGCATTGCTCCAATCACAGATTCTAAATGCAATTGAGTTGTAGGCCTTCAATATTTGTTCCATGAATGAACAAATATAAGAAACAACTAAAATTTAGTCCAAGGCCAGCAAATGAACAGGTATGTGAGCCAATGCCACCCTGGAAGTGTGTTTGGGTTTATGAAAGGCCTTTGTTGGGGAGAGTGGATGTGGATGATGTGATGAAAGTAAAATTTGGGGTAAGTAATGTGGCTATGGTGTCCTGGGTGGATCGGAGGCAGAGAGACCCATTGAGAGGCCATTGGACAAGTGCCACTGAACTGCTACCTCCTCAGCCTCTTCTCTTAGCTGTGACACCGAAGTTTCTCTAGGAGCCCACACAGAGATCTTATATGTATTTTGAATACCCTTTAAAAATTTTATGCAGCAGTAACTACGAAAGCTGAACATATACACACACTATAACCCAGCAATCCTACTCCTAGGGATACACACAAGAGAAATGAGTACATATGTTCACCAAAAGATATGTACAAGAGTGTCTATGGCCATGCCACCCTGAACAAGGTGGACCCCATCTGATCTTGGAAGCTAAGCAGGGTCAGGCTTGGTTAGTACTTTGATGGGAGACCACCTAGGAAGACCAGGTGCTGCAGGCGTAAAAAAATTAAAAAGTCAGGAATCATAAGCTGACAAGGTCCTTGTAATCTGTGAGGTCAACCAAGGGTTGCCTAGCCTAAAAAAATACAACACACACACACACACACATACACACAAGAGTGATCTTAGCATTATTTACAATAACTAAAAACAACTATCCAGATACCCACCAGTATTTGTCAAGGAAATGAATAAATGAATTGTGATATATCTATATAATGAAATACTAAATAGCAATTAGCAATGCACATTAATCTCACATAATGCTGAATGAAAGAAGCCAGACACAATAGGATACATTCTGTGTCATTCCACTTATTTAAAATTTGAAAACAGGCAAAACTAATCTAAGGGGAAAGAAATCAGGAAAGGGATTCCTATTGGGATGGGTAATACCCAGAGGGAGCAAATGGGGAGACTTCTGGTGTTCCATAATCTGAATGCTGGCTACCCAGATATAGTCACTTTGAGAAAATTCATTGAGTATGTTTTGAGCGTTTTTCTATCTGTTTTAAACTTCAATAAAAAGATTTTTAAAAACTTGGATAGGGGACTACTGCTATAAAGCACAGTAAAATACCAAGGTATTACTTTGGTAATCAGAGAAAATAGTACCGATGTCAGAAGCAACTGTGGAGCAGTGAGTTACTTTGAACTCTTCGTGGGGTCCCCTTTCCTGCTTCCAAGCTTTAAGCCTCAAGCCTTCACATAGGATTGGGCTTTTCTGAGCACACTTTGTTTCTCCAGCTAATGTTTCCTGTGGGTTCTGGGCTTCCTGCCTTTCAGCTACTCTCTCCTCCTGCCCCAGCTGCTGATGAGAGTTCTTCTTGGCATTGTTGGAACTCTCTTGGGTGTTTACTGGGCTGATTCAGTGGCCCTGAACCTGCAGCCACTTCTCAGGGTTGACCAACTCACTAAGTATGGCCCGCTGGGCTGTGCCCTCTGCAGGTATCATCTCAGCTTGTGGAGGGAGGTGCTCTAACTCTACCCACATTGTGGATGATAAAGGTGAGCAGTAAAGGATGTGAACTCGGGGAGCCTACCTCCCAAACCGTCGCTCTAACCACTAACTTCCATCCCCAAGTGAGTTCTCAGTGCCAGACTTGTTTTCTCCGCTTCCCATATGCAGAAATTATATAGCAAAGAAATCCCATGAAAGGGATCTTAGAGAGCAACCTCTTTGAGTTCAATAGTTTCTTCTCTTGCCCTCGGTTTACAGATTCACTGAAGAAGGCCCAAGATGCCTTATCAGGCTGCAAGGGCAGAAACAGGTGTGCAGGCTGACATAACTTGGGTCTGAGTCCAGGTTCCACTGTTTATTAGGGAGTGCCCACATGCATGGTACTTGAACTCGCTGAACTTGTCTTCCCATCTATAAAATACTGATATTAAAAATATCCATCTAGAAGAGTTGCAAAAGTGCAATGTATGAGCAGGGCCAGGCACATGCTAGATGCTCATTAAATGTTGGTTATCTTCAGTAGCCTGTCTAAGGAGCTGATTAGTGGCACATCCAGGATTAAAACCCAGCCCTCTGATTCTGCATCCATCCCTGTCCACAATTCTTTCCATAGAAACAAACAACGCTTTTCAATTACTGTCTTACATTTTAATGTCAACTTTGGTTTTAAAAGAGCCCTAGAGGGTTTTAATAAATATCTGTGGATTTAAGAAGCCATGGAACAGTAACTCTTCCAAATATATCACTTCAACTTGGGCTGGCCTGAAATTCTTCTTTGTCAACAATGCCTGAAATCCAAGCTTCCTGTTTGAGAATGCTAATTCTCCTGGGAATAACTAAGCGTTAAAAGGCTGGCATTCTTTGTTGATGTAATTCATTTTAGCTTCATTCAATCAGCAAATATTTGTGGAGGTCTCCCTGTCACCTTCCAAATGAGGTCCAGGCTCTGAAAGCGAGGGCATTTTGATGGAGTGTAGGTGGGAGAAGAAAAGAAGAAGTAATTTTGAACAAGGGCATTCATTTATTCATTCAAAAAATTGACTGGGCGCTTATAATGTGCCATGTACTATTCTCATTACCGGAGAATAGTAGACAAGACTGACACATGGACAACAAGATGTGTGTAAATAAATAGGATCATTTCGGAAATAAGTAAGACACACACAAAAGAGTGATGTGCTAAAGAGTCAATGGGGACAGAATTAATTTATATAGGCAGCTCTAGGAAGGTCACACTGAGGAAGTGACATTTGAACTGGAATAAGACAGGATCAGGCATGCGAAGGCCCCTAGACAAAAATATGCTTAATATGTATGAGCGACGAAAAGGGACCTGTGAGCTGCAGCACAGTCATTGGAAGTTGATGAGGGAAGTGAAACCAGATCATGTGAAATCTTGTAGGCTATGACAAACAGTTTGGAAGCCAGCAGAGTGTTTTGAGCAGGGTAGTGACATGACCTGATTTATCTCTTAAAAATATGACTCTGTTATGCAGAGAAAGAGTTCTAGAGGGTAAAAGTAGAAGAAGCAAGACCAGTTAGGAGTTCTTTGCAGTCATCCAGGCAAGACATGATGGTGGCTGTGATTGGGGTGGTAGCAGAGGAGGTGGTGAGGAATGGTCGGATTCAGGATATGTTTTAGAGAAATCACGTTTAAGACATGTTGATGGATCGAATGTAGATATTATAGGAAAGAGAGGAGTCAAGAACAATTTCTTAGATTTTAGCTTGAGAAACTGAGTAAATGATGGGACTGTTCATCAGGATAAAAAGGAATGGGGGGAGGAGTTCCCAAGGGCCATGGAAATCGAGAATTCTTTCATGGACATATTAAGTCCATATGGGGTGTAGGAAGGCACTGCAGAGAGGACAGTGGAAGGAACGGGGATTCAAGACAGAGAAAAAAAGAGGCAAAAGGGGTAAATAAAGGGTACTTGAAGACAGAAATAACTAAGAACAATTGACGTTTATATGGTGTTTCACAGCTGCAATGTGTACTTCTTTTATAGGATCTTACTTGATCTTCTTCACGGTGCCCCGGGGAGGTGGGTAATATTATCATCCCCAGTTTAATGGCTGAGGGCCCTGAAACTCAGATAAGTAATTTACTTTGCAGAAGGCTATAACTAATGCAAATTGGCCTGATGCTGACCTTTTCTAGGAGCGCTCAGGCTTCTCACTGACCATAAGCTCCTATCTTGGTCATCATTATCCAAAGAGAGAGGAGAAGAGAAGAATTTGTGTTTTTTTTCCTTGCCGTGGTGAGGTGCCCAAGCCAGGCCAAGCCTCTAGGGAACAGGGCACCAGGCATTGTCACTCCATGGAGACCAACCTCGGAAAAAGAAAAAAAAGCCTAACCTCATCCAAGAGCAGGAGGAGGAAGTTAGAATTTCCCCTTTCCGTGATTGATTTCCGGAGTATCAGGCCACCACCAAATGAATATAATTTGGAGGTTCTTGTGGTTTGGATTTTCTTTTTGAACTTTTAAAATTGCACATTTTTTCTTGATTGCCCTCTTGATTGATGGAGAAGAGAACAGGGACCT